ATTTCTTCATAGTACAGCAGGTTTGGGACATGCTAATCCTACGAAAAACTTCTTGTTTGAAAGTTGTGCTTTTTTGACCAATCGATTGTATCGCATGTTACAAAATAATGGAAATTATTTAAGATAATAAAAATATCTACGTTTTGTAGAGAATTTGACAAGGAATCTTTCAATAAAAAAAATTTTTTTTCTTAGCTGAATTATAGGTGAGAAATATGCAAAATAATGAGAGGGTCATTCATTATGGACCACCCGTTACAATTGGTGAAAGACGACAACACCAATAATGTATGTTTTTTTATCAATTATTTACGAGAAAATCATGAACATGAAATATTTAATTAATTAATTTAATTATAATAATAATAAAATTGAACAAATAGGAGTTATACAAACAAATAATAATCAACAATATTTAGCTGTTATTGTTAAATGACAAACAAATCTACACACGGTTAATTAAAATATTCTATTAAAATTAAAATAACTCGATAGAATCGTCCTATTATATATTGATATTGTTGTTTTAAGAATTAATTCTTGTTCGTTTATAATCATCGAAATCCAATGAACATTCTCTCTTCTATCTAAATAAAATAAATTTAAATTAGTTGATCATATTTGGCCATTACTTTCTCGTGACCAATCAATTCCTTATCTAACAATCTCAACATCATCAACAAATATTTTTGATTTCGATTTAGAAAAAAATCTTTCACAATTTATTAAAATTTTAACTGAACAAGATATTGATAAACAAAAAAAAATGCGTAAAGAAATCGAAAATAAACAATTAACCGAAGAATTTCAACAAATTCAAAAACAATTTTAAATTCTAATGGAATAATATCAAGAAGTAAAATTAATTTTTCTTTTCTTTTATTTCTTTTTAATTTTAATTTTAAAAAAAAGGAATGTTTTCATCGGAAATGTTTGTCAATATCTGTTGATGATCTTTTACCAGTAATTGAACAAAGTATATTTGTTCTATCAGATGCTGAAATAACAATATGACGACAATTAGAAACAGATGAAATACAAATTATTTGTCTTAAACAAAAAATTCATCTTTTAGAACAATTTATTTCATCAAAACAAAATCGACAACAATTAGAGAATTTATCTATAGAAAATATTTATAATTATCTGCAAAATCATCGAAATCAAATTGATAAAATAAAAAAACGTTTACAAACTATTCAAAATTTTAAATAAAATTTTGTGACGAACTTGAAATTTTCTTTTAGTTGTAAATAAATAAAAAATAAAACATATATTTCTCCTTATCGACTGATTTCAGCAACAATGATTTTATTTATTTATTTATTTAAAACTGAGAACAAGTTTTCAATACATTAAGCGTTAAAAAAAAAGTTTACAATCGAACTGAATTGATTTAACAAATTTTGTCGTCGAAACAACATTCCGTTTGATGAGTCATTCAACTTGTTGGAAAAGATAAAATAGCAGTATGACCTGCTGGATATTTATTCCAGAAAAGAGGATGAATAAATTACAGGTTTTTATTTATAGTTAAATTCATAAAATGTGTTTTTTCATTTATTAAAACATGTTTAATACTAAAAAGAAAGAATATAACAAAATTCAGTAACTCTTTTTGACTGCCATGTTGATAATCAGTAGAGACACACATCAAATGGATAGCCAATTCTTATCAGCAGACCAATATTTTTTTTTAGGCTATACAATTAGTCTCCATATCATTGTACAGTCATTATTTTTTTTAAACGATTTATTAATTGTTGGTTGATAATCAAAAAACAACATGTGGTTAGTCTTTTATTTACCAGGTTGATTATATCAATAAATGGATTAGAGTGAAAAATTTATGAAGAAAAATTGTTATCAATTGATGCGGAACCTATTGGACATTACCAAAATATTTTCACGATGAAAAACATATTCTCGAAATAAAAACAACTGTAGATTAAATAATATAAATTTTTCAAATTTTTTAATAATTTTTTTTCTTGTAAGTTAATTTAGAAAATATTCGTCAAATCTTCACAGTGCATTTTCCAGTCAGTTTGACGAAAAACAAAATTTTTCTCGATTATCATCGAGGAAAAAATAAATAATATTTATAACTATTATGATGAAAAAAGCTCTTGAATCATATTTATCAGAGTTACTAAATGCAATTTTTAAAGATCAATGGATTCTAGTAAAAAAGAACCAATGTTAGCCACGAGATTTTTCGCGAAATATCAGGAGAACAACAAGAAGATTATTTTTAAAGGTTAGGAGACACTAAAGCCTTTTTTCTTGACAAGAAAATTTTTACTCTAGACACGTTTATGATCCACATGCATTCATGATTATCGCCATAGTTTTTCTTATAAAAGTTATATGAACAGAAGAGAAATAAGTTATAATCTGTACTTTATTTTAGTCATCATTTCTCGCTAGTAAATGATTTATATATGAAAATTTCAGAGGACATTAAACAACTATAGGAAGACATTTTCTGTAAGTTTGAAGTCGATCTGTCAAAATCTTAGTGAATTATGGAGTGCACAATCAGATTGGACAGTTTTACACATTAATATATATAGTAAAGTGGTTTTAGCTCAACAGTATGTACTATAACTTGCTTCTAGCGTGTGGAATTGGAGCGTAGATTGTGCTGCTGATCTACATTTATCGGAAGCTATGTACATACAAATTTTCACATCTATAGCTGCTATAATGACTGAGATCTAAGGGAAAGATATTTTTGTTAGGTATTATCTCATCGATTCTGATAAATTTATTAGATTGCAGTAACTTCTGATAGATTTCCGTAAATTCCAATAAATCTATTTTACAATTTATTAGTATTCATTAGGATCCACCAGGATTTATTGGGATCTACATTATCTTCTTTTATTAAAAAGCAGTGTAGTTTGATAAACTACTGTGGATATGGATGTACCTTATACAATGTTAATAGATCTTAATGTATTTTTGCGAATTATCATAACCTTTGATGAATTTTGGTGCCGTCGAATTAATCGGCTCTAGTATCCATAGGATCCAAGAATCCAAGATCTGCTCTTCCTTCTTTCCTCGAACTACTTTGATT